GGGTCTGGGAAGGTGAGGGTAGGGCGGGGGGCGAGCGGGAGCAGCCCCCCAAGGGACTGGAGGGGAGAAGGGGGGATGGCGGAGGGCTGCCCCCCAGCTCTGCTCTCCCCTCTGCTCACCGTTTTTTCTCTGCAGTGGATGAGGAGGAGGAGTACGAGTGCGTCAGCGTCCTCAACTCCCACACGCAGGATGTCAAGCACGTGGTGTGGCACCCCAACCAGGAGGTGAAAAAGGGGGTTTGTGGTGGGGGGACAATGACACACTGGGTTTTTTTTCCACCCCAAACCTTACCCCAGCGCTGGGAGTGGGACTGGAGAGCAGCGACCTGGTCCTGTTCCAGCTCCACCAGCCTCAAACTGGGACCGACGGGCAGCCTCACACACCTGGTGCCTGGTTGATTCCTCTGCCGTCCCTCAGCTCTTGGCCTCAGCCAGCTACGACGACACGGTGAAGCTGTACCACGAAGAGGAGGATGACTGGGTGTGCTGCGCCACGCTGGAGGGCCACGAGTCGACGGTGTGGAGCGTGGCCTTCGACCGCAGCGGCGAGCGCTTGGCTTCCGGCAGCGACGACAAGACAGTGCGCATCTGGCAGCAGTACAAACCGGGCAACGAGGAAGGTGAGGCTCCTGGCCCATCCTGTGCATGCCACAGGGCTTGGAGTTGCTCCCAACCTGCTGGGGAAGAACGTGGGCAGAGAAAAGGGCAGGCAGGGTGCTGAGGTCCCCCTTTTTCCTTCCAGGAGTGGCCTGCAGCAGCACCGACCCCACCTGGAAGTGTGTCTGCACCCTCTCTGGCTACCACACAAGGACCATCTACGACGTGGCATGGTGAGTGGAGGGAGGCGGTGGTGGTGAAGCCCCCCCGGGCTCCGTTTTCTCCCGGCAGCAGTGCAAGTGACCCCTTGGCGTTGTCCCTGCTCTAGGTGCCACCTCACCGGGGCGCTGGCGACGGCCTGCGGCGACGACGCCATCCGGGTGTTTGAGGAGAGTGCGTCCTCCGACCCGCGGCAGCCCACCTTCAGCCTCGCCGCCCACGTCCCCCACGCGCACTCGCAGGACGTCAACTGCGTGGCCTGGAACCCGAAGGAGCAGGGGCTGCTGGCCTCCTGCAGTGACGACGGCGAGATCGCCTTCTGGAGGTACCAGCGCCCCGAAGTTTGCTGAGAGCTCCCCAAAATTTACTGAGAGCTTCCACCCTCCGTGTCCCCCGTCACCAGGACACTTCAGCACTGCCATCGGCACACAGCCCTGCACCAGCGCAGAGAGCAGAGCAGGTACGATAGCAGAGCAGGGACGATGGCGACCAATTCTGCCCCCACGCGTTGGGACTTTTGCGTGCCCAGGACCACAGGGGTGCCGCCAGCCTCCCCGGGGATGCCGTGCCGGGATCCGTCTGGAGCTGGGAGATGAGGCAGGACTTGCTCCCCGCTCCTTCTGCCCCACGTTCAATAAATCCGTTTTCTCCCAGTTGAAATCTTTGGCTGTTTTCTTTGCGGTGCCGTCCCCAAACCTCGGCATGGGCGGAATGGGGTGTAGGTGCTCCCCCAGGAGCTGGAGGAGGTGGCACAGGGGGACGAGCCCCCCAGGGAGCAGGTTTTGTGTCACCCGGTACCAAGGGGAAGCATTTCACAGAATCACACAGAATCACAGAATGTTAGAGATTGGAAGGGACCTCGAAAGATCATCCAGTCCAATCCCCCTGCCAGGGCAGGACACCTAGATCAGATCACACAGAAACGCATCCAGGCGGGCTTTGAATGTCTCCAG